GTTTTGGTCAGCCAGGTCCTGCCTGGAGTTGGCACCTGCTCCTGGCAGCATTTTGGGGGGTTTTGGTGCGGGTTTTGGTGCAGTTTTGGTGCCCCAGCTCACGGTGCTGAAAGGTTATTTTGCAGAATAAAAGGTCAAAATTGGAAATCTCACCCAAAATTTGGGTTGTTTTGGTCAGCCAGGTCTCCTACCAAGAGTTGGCACCCACTCCCCAGAGGACTTTGGGGGGGGGTCTCCCCCTTATTTTGAGTATATTAAATTAAATACACCCAAAACGGTGGGTTTGGGATATAACAAATCATTTATTTACACAATGATTAGCACACAATTATTAATTCACAATTAATAATTGGTGGTTTGGGGGCATCACAAATCATTGATCAATGCACCCAAATCGTTTGTTTTTTGTGTATAACAAACCAAGGATTTTTTAAAAAGCGTCTTTTGAGCTTCATTTTTATAAACCCACCTTTTATTAACCCGAAACGTTGCAAACCCGGCCCCAAAATCCGCCTTTTTCCAGTTAAAACGGACACTCGCGCTCGCAGTCCTCAACCAGGTCCGCACCGCGCCTTTCCCGCGCTGCCCGTGGGGGGGCGCAGTTCCCACCCAGGTCCGGTCTGAGGGCGGGAAATAGAGGGGGCGGGGCGAGGGGAGGAGCGACCAATGGGAGCGAGGGGGCGGGGTTTAACCGACCAATCAGCGCGCGCCGAGGGTTTATAAAGGGAGAGAAGGGGCGCGGAGCGGGAGCGGTGCCGGGAGGGTAAGAACGGACCCTGAAATGCTCCCTTTTCGTCCCAAAACCGCCCCCAAACCCCTCCTTTCTCACCCCAAAGCCGCCCCCGAACCCTTCCTTTCTCACACCAAACCTCCCCCAAACCGCGGCCGCCGCAGAAAAGGCTTGAAAAAAGGCTGAAAAAAAGCGTGAAAAGAGGCTGATTTACCTCCCCGCAGCGCTGAAAAAGCAGCTCTAGACCGCCTGAACGACGCAGAAAAATTTAGATTATTTTTGTCGTTTATTCTTCATTTCTTTTGAATTTTGGCTTTTTTTTTACCTTTGGCCCTTTTTTCACCTTTTGGGATGAAACAGAGCACTGGAAACTCGTTGTTGGAGAAACGCTGGAAGGAAATACTGTGATTTTTCTTATTTTTGTGCTGTAACAAGGTCCAGGTGTTTGAGGGTGACATCGCCCCCGAGGAACTGGGGTTCGGAGCACGGGGCCGCTCGTGTCCCACAGGTTTGGGGAGGCAGGTTTGTTCCGTGGCTTCACACCCCATGGAACTCCCCACAGAGAGATTTTTTTGGAGCAATTTGTGCCTTTCATGTCCCAGGAGAATGTCAAGAATGTCACAGGCCCGTGGTCGGTGTGGGTCGGGTTGAGGTCTCAGCAGAAGAAGTGGACGTGGGTGGACGACACCCCCTACGACCCCCACAGGTGAGTGTCCGAGGTCTGGGGGGGTAAAAAAGCAGCTTTGGTCCATTTGAGACCCCGATCCACGTCCACACATCGCTGGGGGCCATGTGAGGGTCTCTCATTCCTCTGACAACACTCTGCAGACCCAGGGTCGGGCTCACAGGGCACATTTGGGGTTGGTTATGGGGCACGTTGGGGTCATGGGGCACGTTGGGGTCGTTTATGGGGCAATAAACCCTTTGTTGTGCAGGTTTAGGCACCTGCCGGAGCTGGATGAAGGGTGTGGGACCCTGAAAGCCAAGAGCTTGGAGGTTGATGGCTGTGCTGGTGACCACAAGTGGGTTTGCCAAAAAGCCCCTTTCCAGCTCTCCCTGCCCACGGCAGGAGACGTTGGGAAGCTGGATTGTGCCTCCACCTGACACACTCGGGCACGGACCCCGTGTGGTACAAAAATAAATTTTATTACAATTTTTTCATGGTTTATGCACCCCGATACATCAGCAGTAAATTCCTGTCAGTAGCTTTTCTCTATATCCACTTTTTAGTTATTCATTCTCTGCCCATGAGAAAAATACTCCCAAGCAATTTCCCCCCGCCACGGATTTATCACCACACCTGCATTTATCTTGCCAAGTTCCCCTTGAGTTTCTCCCAGAGTCACATAATCTCAGTCCCTGCACTCAAGTGTTATTTTTATGCTTTTACATTACTGTAGATAACAAAAAGTGGCTCCATCCCTGCTTTCCTTTGCAACCAAACTGTCCTAAAATAAACACACATATTCCAACACCCGTACTTCGGTGTCTTCGCTCTAAACCCACCTGAATGGAACAAAGAGTGATGGGTCAAAGAACCATTTAGCCCCGTCCTCCATGGGTGTCACCGACGGGGGGAACTGGCAGTTCTGTGAGGGGGGTTCTATTACAGGTGAGGTTGGGGTTTGCTGCAGAGATACGGCAGCTGCGTTGAACAGTCCTCACTCCTGAGTACATTGTCTGCCAGGTACACACACTCTGAATTGCCAAGGACCTCCAGCCTGCAATGAGGAGCAGAGACAGCACTGGCACAGGACAGGTCTGTCACAGGACAGGTCGTCTCTGCCCATTCCCCCCAGCACATGAGGAGGGACAGTCCCAGCAGCCTCGTCCCCCCCCATCCCCTGCCCGTCCCCCCGGGACTCACGAGGAGTTGTAGCTGCTGCCGTCCACCCACTGGAACCTCTCGCCCCGTCTGTGCAGCCCGAGCCAGTAATCCAGGTTGTCACTGAGGCAGAAGGCAAAGTTCTGGGAGGGAGAGAGGAGCGGGCAGTGAGAGCTGCTCTGGGCCAGGAACCCCCCCCAGCCTCCCCTCTGCCACCCACACCCCCCCCAGAGCCCCTCACTCACCATTTCCTCATCTCTGAGCACGGCCAGGGAGGCCCCGAGCTCGGAGCAACGATCCTGAGCCTCGTCCCAGCTCCTCCAATCCAGTGAGAAGTAGTAACAGACCCTGTTATAGTCATCCCAGGCCTCAGGACAAGGCGCCAAGTATGGACTCTTAGGTGTGTCTGGAATCTCTCCATGACTTCTGCCTGGAGAGAGAAAGGGAGAACATCTGAGGATTCTCCTCTAGAGGGAGCCCAGCCCTGTGCCCAGAGCTGCCCCTGTGCTGAGGCAGCTGCTCCTCCCTCACCTGCCAGCACAGGTACAGTCACCACCAAAGGCAGGATCACGAACACACCAAAGGCCAGCACCACGGTGAGCCCTGGGTGGGATGTGAACCAATCGCCTGGAGGAGGAAAGAGCACAAGCAGAGCACGAGGTATCTTCCACACCCCTGGAGCAGCCTCACACTTGCCAGCCCTGCCCTGGTGGGGTGACACTGTCCCCTCCCTACAGGACACAGGTGCCCCTGCACTCACCCTGACATTTTCCAGGGGTCCTTCTGTGCATATTCCTTGTTTCTGTTCCATTCCGGAGACTCAGGGACTCCTCTGCACTCCTACCATTCCAGTTGGAAGAGGTACCTTCCTGAGCAGGACAAGCCACGTCTTGAAATGGAGCCATCGCTGGGGATGAAAAAAACCCTCTTTGAGTGCAGATTTAACAGGAGCACTGTGTCAGACTGTAGAGAATAGGTCGAGAACAGTCCAGAGAGGGGGATTGTGCCCAGCGGCTCCTGCCCCAGCAGTTTGGAGCCCAGGGACACTGAGCGCTGACAAATGAGTCACTGCTTGCGAAATGTCCCCGGGAGCGGCAGGGAGCGGCAGGAAAAGCAGCACCGCGACCTTCTGCAGGATGGCTGCAGGATCGTATTTGTCATTCAATCCAAGAATGGCTTGGGCTGGGAGGGACCTTCAAGCCCATCCCATCCCCCCGCTGCCCAGACACGTCGCAGCAGCCCCGGGGGCTCCAAGCCCGGTCCCACCTGGCTGAGACTCAGTGAGAGCCACCGGGGGCCACCGCTCCAAACTCTTCACCCCCAGCAGCCACCAGAGCCCCCTCCCCAGCACCACCAGCACTCCCCCGGCCCAGGGCAGGGCGAACCCACCAGACCCCCCTTTTCACCCCCTCCCGAGCCCCGAGCCCCGGCAGGACCTGGTTCCCTGCACCCCAAACCAACAGGGGCAGCAGCTTTTGTTCCTCTTGGGTCTTGTGTTAAGTTATCACCAGCACCAAATGGACCAACAGAAGCTCATCAGGAAAGTGTCCTGATAAAACAGCGATATTTCATTGCCAAAGTGAGCTCTGAAAGCTGCAAAGGGGCAGGTTTGATTGTCGGAAAACAGACATGAAAAAAGCACAAAGGGATTCCCTCAGAGGGGATTTGCAGGAGGAAACTGAAGGATGTGCTCAGAGCAGTGGGAGTGTTAAATTGGTAAGTAAAAGAAACAAACACAGGATAACTCAGGTGTCTGGCTCCCGCACCTGAGGGTTCCCAAAGTTCTACAGGATAAACCCGAGACCTTGTGCAAGCTTGGAGCTGTATCTGAGCCAAGACAGACTGCAGTACAGTACAAGTGAAGGGTTTCCGATTTCAAAAATGAAAGTTTCAAGTGCCTGGACCTGCTTGAGATGGCAGAAGCCCCAGTGCACAAATTCAGCTCCCTCATTTCAAGCCACAATTTCAGTCCTGCTTTAAATTCTCCCTCACAGATGTCGACTGTACAAATTCAACAAATTCCCTTACAAAGACCCCCGAAGGTTCACCTTGTGAGACCCCACCTGGTGCAGCCCGAGCTCCTGCCCAGGTTTCATCCCTCCCAAGCCCACCGTGGTTTCCAGCTGGTTTGCTCCCAAAAATCACTGTTCATTCCACTCAACTGAAACAAATTAAAGTCCTTTCTATCACAACATCATTTGCTTCTTTTCACCACGGTTTTCTCAATTCTCTTCCCCAGAAGCAACCCCTGTCAGCAACAAGGGGCTGAACAAAACAAACAACAAAACCACTGAAGAAGCAGCAAAAAAGACAAAGCAGCACAACCCCACAGCAGACACTCAAACCAACCCCACGGCAGCAAAACCCTCACTAAACCCAGATGTAAAATTGAGACTTTTGGGGTTTATTCCCCCCCTTCCCTTCAACCTGCCATGTTTAATTACTCAGGTGGTTATTGCAGCCCCCCAAAGACAAGACCACGATGTGGGTGCTCAGCCCTGTCCCAGCCGTGGCTCACTCTGGGCAGGGAGAACCCACCACCCCGAGTTTGGCAGCACAGGGGCTGCTCTCGAGTACTCACCTCGCAGGGCAGCTCTCAGTGTGGGGGAAATTTCCTCAAACTGAGTCCGTTTCACTTATAAACAGGGAGGAGAGTCAACCACAGAGGCGTGGTTTTGGCTTGTACAGCATGGGTTTGACTTTACAGCTCTTTGGCTGTTCACGTGTTCTCCAGCAGCTTCCCAGTGTGGTTCATTTTCCAAGGAACAAAGCCCATTTTTTTGCACCTTGCTTGCTTAAAAATATTTCAGAGTTCCCAGCCAAGGAATCCGTGATGGGCTGGCCCTGGTTGGTGCCAGGTGTTGCTCTGTCACCGCCTCCTCCTCACCCGGGCAGGGAACAGAATCATTCCAAACTTTCACCTCGTGAAAGCTGCACAGTCCGGAGCCAGAAGAAATGAGAAGCTGTTGGAGATGTACGACCACCAGTGTGAAATCTGAGAAACCCGGGGGAGGTTTTTGGCTGAAGGGGTCCCACGTGGCTGCTGCAGGTACTGGCCCATAAGGCTGGGACGGAGGCTCTGCACTTTAAATGATACCAGAAAAGATGGACCAGAATACTCCCAACCACAAATACTGACATAATAATACTTCTGACCTTGTTACACAGACTTTCATTACCGGGGGAAGTGTTCAGTTGGAGAAAGGCTCTAAAGTCGTGCTGAGGGATCAGGGAGAGGACACTCACCAGTAGTTCTTGTGGGCACAAGAAAGGAATGGATTAATGACTAACAATTTTCTCCAAATCCTTCCTTGTCTTTTAAGAGGAAGCAAGAGAAAACACACGAACTCCAAACTCAAAGACACAGGAAACTGCAGGCAGGGAACTGGAATTTGGGTTTTTTCATAGGTTTTTGTTGCTGTTGTTGTTTTGTTGGGTTGGGTTGGGTTTTTTTGAAAAAAAAACAAACAAACAACTACCTGCAGACAAGCTTGTGTTGTGACATGAGGGTGCCGTTGCCTGGATGCTGCTGGTCCAGGGCAGCTGCAGAACGGGCTCAGCCTCCCAAAGGGAAGAACTGGCACCCGAGAGGTGCTCAGGATTGTGCCCAGCAGTTCCCGCCCCGGCAGTTTGGAGCCCAGGGGCACCCAGCGCTGACAATTCGAGTCACTGCTTGCAAAATGTGCCGGGGGCCGGCAGGAGAAGCAGCGGCGCGGTGGCTCCAGCCCGTCGAAGCTGTTTCCCGGCATTTCTTGGCTCCGCGGGGGCTTTAAAATCGCTGCACCGAGGGGTCTCCCCCGCCCGCGTCCGAAAGAGCCGCAGCGAGTGTGGGAACAGAAGAAAAGACGAGAAATAGA